TTATACAACATTCATGCAAGATACGCAGTGAGCCCAATGATGAGATTACATTCAAATACAATTCAGACACTGCAAGACCACCTCTGACTCTGAAGTGTGTTTCTACCTTTGTATAATAAAGCACTAAAGTTTCCTACAGCACTCCTCTGATGTATAATTCTCTGTATTTAAGGATGAGGAAATTAAAGCACAGCAAGATTAGAGAAGGTATCTTTTTAAAATCTGCTATACATTTTCATACATAATAAAAAAGTAAACCCAATAAACTGTGCTCTTTTGGGTGTCTGTTTATAGCTTTTTACTGAACAAACTTACAAATAGGAATATTTATAAGAACAATGTGTTGTGTCCAAGAGCGAATGAAATTCAGGTCAGGTAGGTAAGTGCCTTGGCCAGGACTAGGGCAGACAGCACAGAGACCTGGGGCTGTCCTGCCCAGCAGCCCAGCCAAACCCAGTGCTACTGGCTTCCTTCCTCTTCAGGAGGCAACATCATTTCAAGACCAGGCACTGTGGACTGGCTAAATCCATGTTTCTGGAGAGCACAAGGGAGTGGTGTTCTGCAAGGAGCTGCTGTGGGCCCAATACTTAGGGCAGGAGGGCTGAGAAAGACGTTCCTAGGCACAGTTTGGATTCATTGCAATTTAGCAACTGGTAACTGGCATGCAGTATTCTAACCCAAGGGTGGAAGAAAACTTCAGTTTGCACTAACACATGTCTAAGAAAGGCATTAAATCTCCAGCAGAAAAGACGAGAACTACCTGCACTAGAATGGAAGCCATTCAGAAGCCCTACAGCAATGACTGAGTTTTGCCTGATTTACCAGAAGAGGCAAATCACATCTCACATCCCAGATCCAATCCCTCGACTGTGTAAGAGAGAATAACAGAGAGCAACTGGAAAGTGATTGAAGCCTTTTACAGCCTCCTGCTCTACATGGCACAACTCCAAACTTTGTTCTTTGGAAGCAAAAAGAAAAAACAAAAAAAAAACAACAAAAAGAAAAGAAAAATACAACTGAGATCTCGATCAAATGCTGATGCCTCAGAAATATGTGGAAAACACCGGGGACTTTACTGCAGTCAGCTTTCAGCTCAGAGCTCTGATTTTCATTTTCAAAACATCTACTTCCAAAAACATATTTTCCTCCGCTCTGAAGTTCTTTCTAATCTCATGTAAGAAATTCCTCTTGCAGATGAGCTCAGGTGCACAGCAGCACTACCCTAAAGATGGAAAGCCAAATTGTCTCAGTGTTATAACAGTGGTGGTATGCAGTGAATGCAGTTTCAGGGAGAGTACGTGCGGCAAGTTAATAAAATTGGAGAAGAAGGCCATGGTGCAGGAGTAATATTCCCCCTAACCAGAGGATAAGAAGTTACCCATGGCTATTGAAGAAACAAAATTGGACGTTAAGTCTACTTCATGAATTAAAGTACACTGACCTTTAGAGGAAGGAATGACTCATTTTCATCCCTGTATGCCCCTTTTTAACACATGCTTCCCACCTTTGCATATGTAAGCAGCAATTAGTTCTCACGGAAAGTTGTTTTATGGGCATTTCAGCTTATTAAGCTTCCTGAGTAAACTTAACAAAGATGCATTTAGCAACACTTGTGGACCAGGTACCCTACAGGAAATGATTTGGTTACCTATGGTGTTAACATGATGAAATACAAATGCTTCTGCAGGGCCAACGCAGATGGGCTCTGGATCTCTATGAAGCCCATGGAAGTGTGGAGCAACCAGGCACTGAGAGCACTTGCAGGACAGTAGTGCACAAATTCCTGTGAACTCAATGGCTTGACTGTTAAACAACAGCACTCCGGTAAGAACACCTTTTACTAACTGTGTTTGGTAACACACTGAGGCAAATTGCTTCATGCCCCACATATGCTATCAAAAAGCGAAAAGCTTCACTTTGGTGAAATACCTCTCAGCCAGTATCAGAGCACAACAGCTAAAAAGAATACAACGTTATTTACAGGCCTCTTTTGTAACCTTAAACTCAATGGGAATTCGGCTCCTTGCAGGTTTTTCTCATCCTGATGTACAATTCAATCTCCATTCCCAGGGAGGATCATTTTGTGAAAGTAATTAAGCAAGGTAATTACATTTTTTTTCCTGGGAAGTGCTGCAATCCTGGGCATCTCCAGCACTTTTGGAAAAAGAAAAAAAAAAAACAAGAAAATCACTAAGTGTGTCAACATCACTAAAGCCTCTGTACACTGTTGATGGGAGGATTGCATTGTTTGAAATCCATTTCCAATTAGCTTAAGCAATGTAGGAGAGGCTCAGTTGCCTTAGGAAGGGCTTTAGTTAAGCCCTGTTCAAATTAGCTGCAATGGTGATAATAATTGCTGGAATCTGCACACGTATGGGCTGGTGGATGCTGCTGGTGCTGCTGTCACTGTGTCAGCACATCCTGCTGGCAGCAGGGCTATGTGGTGTAAATTTAAGGATGGTAGCGATGTGTGGTGTTCATACTGGCAGCACCTTCACAATGCAAAAGGAATGGACTTTTAACATCCTCCACAATTCCATATGCACATGGAAAAAAAACCTATGTGCACAGCCATATCGTGGTATAAATACACTACAGTTTAATTACTGGCAAAGCAGATGGAGAATTTAATAGCAATGCTGCACTTCAGGAACATCAGTGCAGAATTCAGGAGGAAGCTGGAATTGTTACAGGAGGTCAGGAACAGCTGCTAGGAGAAGGTACTGCTGTGAGATAGGTAGCTCTGCATTCCTTCTGCTCCTCCTATTCCTGCATCCCCTGCAATGGACTCTGCAAGGCTGTATTGCAGTAAAAGCAGCAGAGCCTTGCCTTCAGCATGATTTCACTGGGCAGAGCTAACTGCTGCTCATCTCTCAGCAAAAACATGGATTTCTCAACAGCGAGGACGACACCCAGAGCCTGATGAACTTCACTTAAAGCTCCGTGCTGTACTCACAGCATCACAGCACCTGCTCATCATGAGGATATCCTTCACCCAGGTTAAAAACCACATCTTCATCCTCAAAGATGACAGCTATGTGCCCTCCAGCTCGCTCGCTGCTAAAGTCACTGGGGCTGAACTAGCATTAAAAGCGAAGGCTGCATCTCCACTGCCAAAGAGGGAGATCCTTAAGGCAAAGGAACTGCAATTCATGAAGAATTTCCCAAAGAGAGAAAAAGAAAAGAGCAGGAGGAGTGGCTTTAGGTGTCTTTATTAATATTTTAAAACTATTTTTCATGCTAACATATTGAGGCAAGAGCTGCAGAAGGCAGGGAGGGAGCACTGGCCTCACCCAGACACCGTACAGCAGGTGATCTCTGCCTCACCTCTGCCAAAACTGGCCCACGGAGGGCTAAGCCAGGCATCTCACTTCAGCCCCGAGCATAAGACTGATTCACATAGAAACTGTTCTGATGGTCTGCTTTGATTTTAGCTGCAGGCAGCAAGGAATGAAATGAGTTCCATTGGTAATTACTCACATAGCTGGCCCAGATTTACAGTTGAACATAAAAAAAATCAGTTGCTCCAACTTTGTACTCAAAGCCCAGCACTGACTCCTCTCACCACCTGCAAACGTACCTAGGTTTGATTTGTGATCCAATAAGTGGCTACCACTCAGGGACACGCCACCAGCACCTCCACAGCTTCATAAAAGCTACCAAATTGAGCTCATAGTGACAAATTATTTGATCCTGCAACCCCCTCGCTATTACAACCTTGGTATGAGAGCCTGAATCAGAGCTTGTGTGAAAGGTACCAGGCACAAGCAGGATGGAAATCTCTCCTGATCATTGCCCGAATTATAAATTCGATTTGAGGATTTGGATTGGATTGAGGAGCTGCCCCCTACCCCGACTTCCAATCCTTATCATCCAGGACTAAAAATATGAGCCAGGGTCTCCTCTTCAGAGAGATGCCAATCAGTGCTATGTGAGCCTCCTGAGATACATGGCTTCTTGTCATACTGTAGCTGATACAGTCCACCAACTACCATCTGTGGCATTAAAAGGGACAGGAATCAACTCAGTGCCAGCTCACTGTGGCTGAACCTCACCAACAGCTCATCCACACACAGTGGGATGGAGGAGAAAACTGAAAGGTGCAGTCAAAAACTGATGGGTTGAGATAATGGCAGGTTAATAACAAAGAAAAAATAATTCAAAGTAGCAAGAAATACACCAAATGGGTGATGCACAGCACAATTGCTCACCGCCAGCCAACTGATGCCCAGCCAGTCCCTGAGCAGCAACAGCCCCCCAGCGTTACCCCGGCGTTATTGCTCAGCGTTGACACCACATGGTAAGGACATCCCTGGGACCTGCATGAGTGAGCTGTGCCTGCGCTGTACCCTCCCGGCTTCTCGTGCCCCCCAGCCCCTGCCTGCTTGCAGGGCAGCGTGAGAAGCTGGGAAGTCCTCGGCTCTGCGCAGCACTGCTCAGCAGTAACTGAAGCAACCGTGTGTTAACATTATTCTCATCCCGCATCCAAAACACGGCACCCTCCCAGCTACTAGGAAGAAAATTAACTCTCTCCCTGCTGAAAAAAAAAAAAAAACGCTGGGAGAGAACCGTTTTCTTTGACGTTTGCCTGTCACCTATCATATGTTTAGAAAAAGGTAATAACGCTGATAGCAATGCCCAACAGCATTCGCGTATCACTCTGAGCTCCGGAATGCTTCCACCGCTCCCCGAGGCTCGCCCGCACATAACCTTGGGAATCCCTCGCAGCCCTTGGAGTAAAGAACACACCCTCAAAAAACGATGGGGAGCATCAGACAGCCTGACCTCGCTCCCCCGAGGCTAACGACACTTCCACCTTCGGGTCCCATTTGCGGTCGCCTGGCGCAACGCCCGCACTGCACACAAACCCCTCTGCGCTTCCTAGCAGCCCTCCCGGCCCCCCAGCCCGTCGGTACGTTGGGCGGCAAGGACGAGCCGCAAGGGGAAGTCGCGGCCGGCGGGGGGAGCTGGCAGCGCCCGGCATGCAGCGCCCGGCTCACCTGCCGCCGAGACGTGGAGGAGGAGGCGGGGGCGGGCGGCTCGGATGGCCGCCGAGAGCCCTCGCTCGCCGCCCGGAACGGCTCCGCGGCGCTCGGGCATCACCCGCACCCGCAGCCGCCCGTCTCCGGCGCGGAGCCAGCCGGCGAACGGCTCGCTGAGGTCGAACTCCAGGCGCGCCCCGGCGGCGCAGCCGTCCCGCAGGCTGCCCTCGCCCACCTCCAACACCAGCTGCTTGGCGCGCCGCAGCCGCCGCCCGCCCGCGGACGAGCCGCCGGGGAGGACGAGCGGAGCGGCCGGCGGCGGCCGGGAAGGCCCTCCTCGGGCGGCGCGGAGCAGAGGCGCGCAGTCCAGCAGCAGGCGGCCCGTCGCCGAGGCGCGGCCCGGCGGCCCCAGCACCAGGTCCCGCACGTAGGCGCGGAACAGCGAGGGCACGACGAAGTCCACCGCCAGACTCCTCCTCTGCAGCCGCGACAAGCCGGGACCGTCCCGCGGCCCCGCCGCTCCCGGGGCTAAGCTGAGGGCGAAGCAGGCGGCGGCCAGGAAACGGGCGGACAGCCGGCCCCCCGCCATCGCCCGCCCAGCCGGCGGCCCGCGGGAGCGGTGGCCCAAGAGCGGCGCTGGCGCGGGGCCGCTGCGCCCGGAGCCGCTGCTGCGCGGGCTTTGCCGGCTCCAACTACCCGCCACAACGCGGGCATTACCCGGCGAGCGCTGACGTCACGCTCGAGCCCGCCCGCCAGCAGCCAATGGCGGCTAGGGCAGCCTTCGTTATGCAAATAAGGGGGCGGGCCCGGGGAGGCGGGGGCGCGCCCGGCGCCCATTGAGAGAAAATGGGAAAGCGTGCCCGGGTTGCGGCGCTTCGGATGCAGCCGCTGCCGCTACGTGAGCCGCGCCCCGGGGCCGCCGCCCGCGCGTGGCGGGGAGCTGCAGCCTGCGGCTCCCGGCCCCCTCCGCCTTCCCTCTTCGCACATGCGGTGTTGGCCGACGCTGCCCATTTTTCTCCTTTAGCTCTTTGCTCCCAACCTTCTTCCCGTTCCTGGCTTCTCTCCGCCCCTCCTTACCTCCAAACGAGCCGAGGTCTCCCCGGCAGCCCCGGGTGCGTTCCTTCTGTTGAGAAAAAATAAGAGAGAGAGAAGTGAGGGGAAGGAATCTCACGGCAGAAGTCATTCTGAAGATTTGAGCGGAACCGTTCCGTTTCAAAATGAAAACGACAGCCTTTAGAAAGGTTCATGTACCAATTTCCCTTATTTTTACCTATATTAAATACAATAAAATGGCTGTAATTATGTTAGTGCCGTGCCTTAGGATAGCTAATCGAAGCTCATTCATATTTCTGGAAGTTGCCTGTATGAATTAATGACTTCTTATTATCTCTTTAGTTTGATACTTAATGCATGTATATTTTTATAATCTAGGTACTTCAACTATATAATCATTAGGGTGCAATTATTCTGTCATGTGGTTATTCTTCTGCTTATATCAAATTAATGTTAATATACAGATACTCTGGAGCAGAACCACCGAGTAATTCCCCATAATTGTGGTGCTCAAGAGTGTAATTGCAGGCACAATGCTAGAAAAGAAACAAGATCTTCCTGCACAGAGGAGCTGAAGAAGGAACTTCAGGGCAACTGTCACAGGAAGAGTTACATAATGCACTCTGTACAGAAAGGCACTTCATGCTGCATTCAGCCCCATATGGGTGTGCAAACTCAAAGCCCATCCTTTGCCCAAGGAGGCTGTGGATGCCCCGTCTCTGAAGACATTCAAGGCCAGGCTGGACGTGGCTCTGGGCAGCCTGGTCTGGTGGTTGGCGACCCTGCACATAGTGAGCAGTTGAAACTAGGTGATCATTGTGGTCCTTTTCAACCCAGGCCATTCTATGACAGTGTTTTCCCAATGATGCTGGGCTGGGTACATGCCCTCTTTCCTCTTCTTGCAAGCTCTTCTTGCTTTGCAGTCCATTAGAATCACTTGCTCAACATGTGAACTCCAGCCATTCACTTTTAGCCTTCAGTAATATTCTGGGGTTTGGGTTTTCTTTTCTTAGATGAGCAAGACTGGAAAAATACTGGAATGCACACAAGGGGCCCACTGGACTTTCCACTCAGCCTCTTCTTTTACTCCAGCGGACAGTCACATCAATGAGCACGTCTGTGGATTGGGAGCTTAGTCCTCAAACCTGCCTTCTTCAAATTCTGCTGGACTGCTGTCTTCCTCTGTTAGTGAGTCTCCCACAAGAGGGATGGCAATTACTGCAGAAAAGTGGTGGTGTTAGGCACAGAAAACGTTCTAAAAATTCCCTACAATGGTTTAGTGTAGATTATTTTCCTGCTTTTGCAGATCTGATTTCTGTCATGTGAAGGCGCTATGTGGGACTTCTGCAGTTTTCAGTTCTTTGCATTTTCCTCTCGGGTTTGGCCAGCTTGAGCTGAATGCTCAGCTCATGTGAGTGAAAGGTAAGTCTTCCACGGTCCTTAACAGTCTGCACACAGGTGACAGTTCCAATTTCTAACTCAGCTACTAGGAACGGAGCAACTGGATGGATCCCTTTATCCTCGACATCCTGCTGAGATAGGCCACACCTTCCCCAATTATCCTTTTTGGCAGAGATTATAAAGATGTCTCACTGACCTTCCTCTCACCAGGAAGCCACAGTTGGCCCCAGCAATGAGTCACACGGGCATGACTAGAAACTTCACTCTCCTCTGGATGAGACAGAACCATGCCTGTGCCTTCAGTTGAGTCAATCGCTGCCTCTCTCCAGAATGCCTTCTCTGCTCCATTCACTGACAGAGCTGCTGAGTGGGTGGAAGTTTTGTGATGTGGTTGAGTTGGACAAATGGGATTTGCTTCACATCAGTGTAAGCGATGTGGGCACTGTGTGGACCCAAATGGCTCTGCTATCTGTTTGGGGGATGCTCCCTAGGGGACAATATAGAAAAAGCCCTTAGATGCCTGGGGAGAAGAAACATGGGTGGGGGTACAGCCCTGCCTTCATGCAGCGCACTGCTCTCAGCAAAAGAATCTGTATGTGCTTGGGAAAAAAAAAAAAGAGAAAAAAAAAAAAAGCATGGTCCAAAGACAGTACCAGCAGCTAGCAGCTAGCAGGCTGCTACCTAATAGTCCCAAAGAAATCAGGTAGCACATGAAAGTATATGGATGTGTACTTTTTCCACTGTATTACCTTGTTTTATTGCCACGAATCACAAGGAGTTTACAGCTGAAAGCTGAAATGCAAAGGAATCTTTATTAATAGGTACTAAATGAAACAGCAACAGATGTTAATACGTTGAAAGAGAGAAAGTGAAAATGGACCCATTAATGAAGAGAGGCAAAGAAATCAATACGGGATCTCCAGCGGTTGAGTTGCTGGGCTGCCTTTTTATCTCCCTTTTTGATTGCTCTTTAAGGAGAAAAGTGGTATGGATATTTGGGAAAGAGTTGAAGCCTGGTCAATAGAGCTGTTAATGAGGAACAGGTAAGGAAATATTTTGTACAATTCTGTGATGGGCTGCGATCAGCAGATCTGGACAATATGCTCCCCCGGTTTTTAATTTAGCTAATGAATTGACTGTGTCACTGGCAATTAATTTTGAAAAGCAGAAGAGACCTCAGGATGTCTCGAAGGATGAGGGTGGGGTGAGATGAAATACAGTTCTAACCTTTACAATGGAGAAAAAGAGTCACATTGGCAGATGTCTGTATTTCAGCACCAGTAAAACAACGGAAGAGACTTAAGCCAGACAGGGTACTTCAGTGGGAGCATAGCGGTGTGTGAGCTGAGTGTGTTACACTCCTGGAAGGCTTATTCTGCCAGGAAAAGACTCAAAAAGCTCAAACATTGCAAATTTGTACCACGAAAATGATATTACTTCTTGGGGCTCTAATTGCATCTCTGTAGATGCTGGAAAAGAACCAGAAAAAATTGATATATCCACATGCTAGTAAACCTGTGCCAGAACTTTATGTGAAATATCAGTAGGGCAGTACTACAGCTGGACAATATCATGTGGCTTTAGAGTTAAACAGAAGACTGCTGGAAACTGCAGCACTATGAGTATAAGATGGGTAATACAATAGACTGAGCAAGCATCAGCGATTGCTTAGTTTAAACCTTTCTGCTAATATTTCACTGATATCACAGTGTCAAATTGGGCAGTGCTGCCTTGAAAGGCTTCACCCACAACAAAAAATGCGGACAGTAATTTGGACAGGACCACTGAAGCATCAGTGAAGCAAAAGGAAAGAAATATTGTGGAGGAATTAAGCTAGGGCAACAAGGAAGTGGTACCCAACAGCAGTGTGTTTCAGCTAGATTTTGGGAGGAAAGTATAAGTACTCCTGGTGCTATCCAGACATCTTTTGTGTCTCCCTCCTACCACAGAGTTCCCAACCCAGGACATTGCTTATCTGTACTCTTGGGATGTATTAGATCTGAAGTGTGATACCAAAGCAAAGCATCTGTACACAACAAAGTTTTCAGGGAGAGAGCTGAGGATGGGGGCTGTGTCTAAACGTGTCAGGTTGATGGGATATGGCAGTGTACATCTGGCTTGGGACTGTGCAGGAAAGGGCAGACTCCATGTCCCTCTCTGTGGTCTCACTTGTTAAGTGCTGAGTTGAACTGCCTGAGGTGTGTTAGACCAACAGGATCCATGTGACAGCCCAACCTTTACTTAGGTACATCTTTCCTCACTGGGCTGTGGCAGAACAGTTGCTCATCAATTTGCATCTGATTTATGAAAGGCAGAGGTTCTTACTGTCTGCCTTGCTACCCCAAGTCCCGAGAAGAGGAAGAATTCGATTCAGAGCTTGTAATTGAGGGGCCAGACAAGAAATCCTATTAATCTCAACTGTACGGACTTCAGGGAAGCTTCTTCGAATTCACACTAATGAGGCAGAAAGCTGATTCGGGCCTTCACTCATCACTTTGTAGTTACTTTGGCTCCCTGAGACAAAGGCAGTGAATCAACGATGCTAATTACTTCATTCACAGCTTTGCTTAAAGCTACCTGCCCTTCCTTTGGCTGTTGAGTGTTTCTAAAGTAGCCTTTCATTTGCTGAGATAAAGGATAACAACTTATTTTATTACATTCTTTTTTTCATCTTCCTCATCATGTCAATTAGCGTGTTTG